ACAAGTTTTAATACAATGTATTATAAAACAGTTCTAGAGAGAATCATACAAAGACATACTACATATATATACATATATACATACTTACATACATAATATATTACCTGTCAGTGTAGTTGAACCTTATGAGCTTGGGGTTACCATCAATAGATGCAATAAGGAGTTGGGTCCAGGAACTGCATATTGCCAATGTCAAGTTAAATTTATTTATAAAGCACATTTAAAAACAGCAGATGTTCCCAATAAGTGCTTAACAATAAAAATCAATGGCAGTAATTTAAATATTAAAAAAATACTAACAAAATTAATTAAAAGCATCAAAAGAACAACATAAAAACACAAATAATCATTGCAAATGTATTGTCTTAACACATGCAGCCATAGTTGTGTCATATACACTCCCTGTGCATCCACTCTTCACAAAGATTCTCAGTCTTGAGACAGAAAGAAGGAACACAAGTTTGGAACTCACTGACCACATCATTTACAAAACCTTGAACAATCCAGTTCACCAGCACAAAAAAAATAAACTGCTAATACTTTCACTTTAAGTACAATGCCATTCTGTTTAAAAATGTAGTAAATATGGAGCTTAAGATCACATACATTGTTAAATTTTATTGTTGTGTTCTTGTTGACTTCCTGTTGTGGGTGGAGTTACAAACACACACGTATGCAATTTTCAATAAATGACCACAGGTCACTTTACAGTCTGGTGTTCATGTAGGCCAAGAGCAACGAAAGGCTGTGTGTGGTTTTTCTGCCATGGTTACCTGCATTTCCAACCCTTTAGAAATGGTAGCTTCAACATATTACAGTCATTAAATTAGCTAGAATTAGTGCATTTTAAACACACTATGTTTATTTATAGCCATTTACCAATAATATCAATAATTTAACTGTAAATACCTCAGACCGCATTTTTTCATGCGTCTCCTGATGGTCCTCTTCAATACCCCAAAATACTCTGCAATTTCACCTGCTGTTAATCTAAAGAGAACTTGATAGTCCAGAACATGACTTGGTGGAAAGCTGGACGCCCAGGTTCAGGTGTTTGAAGTTGTGTGGTGTCAATGTCAATTTTATTTATATAGCACATTTAAAAAGCAACGATGTTGACCATAGCGTTTCACCAATAGGAAATCCGCAGTAAAATAAGATCAAACATTAAAAACACAACTAATAAAATAGGCTAAGAACAAACTAAATCAAGAAAATAACATAAAAAAAGAGGTTTAGACGGAATTCAAACCAAAGTTGAGTTAAAAGCCAGGAAGTGTGTTTTTAATCTGGATTTAAAAAAAGGACTTTATGGACTCTGCAGAACAAATGTCAATGGGCAGGTTGTTCCAGAGTCTGGGGGCCACCATAGCACAAAGCCCGATCCCTCAAGTTTTAATTTTGCCCTTGGCTGTGCTAAAAGGATCCAACTGGAGGATCTCAGTGTTCAGTTTGGGTTGTAAAAATGCAAAAGTATGGGTGCCAAGCCATTTATAGTTTTAAAAGTCAGTAAAAGAAGTTTAAACTCAATACGAATGGAACAGGTAGCCAATTGACTTAAAATGGAGTGTTCCTTCCTTCTAGTTCCTGTTAAAAGACGCACAGCAGCGTTCTGGACTAACTGCAAGCGGATGTAGAGATGATTGTTCACAACTAACATATAAAGAGTCGCAGTAGTCCAGTCTAGTGGTGATGAAAGCGTGGATGAGAGTTTTGAGGTCTTTAAAAAGAGAGGAATGTACGATTTTGCTTTATTTGACTTGACTGTTTTTTTTTATTATTTGACTGGTTTTGACAACTGAGCATATTTAATTCCAGTTTAAAAGAACCGTCTACAAACACCCCACGATTCTTGACCACAGAGGAACAATGAGGAGCAAAAGGACACAGAATTTCAGCACCCCCCAAAACAGGAGTCTGGTTTTTAAATACAATTTTAGTCATTTTTTTTCCCATTCAGGGTCAGACAGTTCTGATTGAACCAGTCTTTAGACAGTTCAACAGAGGCTGCAATGGGGCAGATGCTGCTCAGTTTAGACGGTCGACCAGCTCTAGGTAGAATGGTGGCTCCAAACTCCTTCCATTTACGAATGATGGAGACTGCTGTGCTCGTTGGGACATTAAAAGCAGCAGAAACTTTTCTGTATCCTTCCCTGGATTTGCGCCTCAACACAATCCTGTCTCAGAGGTCTACAGATAATTTCTTTGCTTGGAGTTTGCTCTCTGACATGCACTTCTTCTTCTTCTAGTTTATTGACGGATTGCAAACAACGTTCAAGTGCATACCGCCACCTACTGAGGAAGAGTGTGTAACTCATGGCCTCCTTTCCCTAGATTCTATTTTTAATATTTTTGTTATGTAAATAAATAAACAACTCTTTTCTAACATCACTTATTTTATCCTTATCCCCTTCAGTTCCTAATATTCCTCCTAAACTCCATGCTCTCTTTTACTTTTTCTTTCAATCTCTCCCTTTCTTCTGTATATTTAGTGCACTCCATCAGTGTTCCACACTTCGTTTCCCCACATTCCTCACATCTACTGTTATTCCTTTTCCCCATCATATGCATTGTATCATTTAGAAGTGTATGTCCAACCCTCATTATTATCAACTCTTCTACTTCGTTCTCTATAATTATCTTAACTGCTTTTTGAATTTTATATAATCTTCTTCCTTTCTTGTCCTCATTCCACGTTTTCTGCCAGTTCTCGATTGCTTTTCCTTTAATTAATGATTTACCCTCTCCTTTCCCGAATGGAATATTTACTGTTATTTCACCTTTTTAATGCTTTTTTAGCGAGTTTATCTGCTCTTTCATTTCCTTCCACCCCCTCGTGTGATGGCACCCAACAAAAACGAATGTCCATACCTCCCTTGTATAACCTGAATAATGTGAGCTGTATTTCTAGAAGTAGATATTTCCTGTTGTTTCCTTTAGACTGAATGCTTTCTATGACAGCCTTTGAGTCGGTGCATATCACCTCCCTGTCCGGTCTAACTTCCTCTGTCCACTGTAAACTAAATATTACTGCCACCATTTCTGCTGTGAAAACTGAAAGTTGATCAGAAATTCTTTTAGATATACAAACTTTAAACTCTGGAATATAAACCCCTATTCCAACCCACCCCTTTGTGTTCTTTAAGCCATCTGTAAAAATGTCCAGGTAATTAAAATGTCTCATGTATTTGCTGGCTTTCACCCCTATTTCATTTTCATTTTCATTTCATTTCATTTCATTTCATTTCATTTCATTTCATTTCAAGAATGTTCATGTCTACTTTACTTTCTGGATATGACATGCACTGTCAACTGTGGGACCTTATGTAGACAGGTGTGTGCCTTTCCAAATCAAGTCCAATCAACTGACTTGACCACAGGTGGACTTCATTTGAGTTGAAGTTATAGAAACATCTCAAGGATGATCAGTGGAAACAGGATGCAGCTGAGCTCAATTTTGAGCTTTGTGGCAAAGGCTGTGAATACTTACGTAAAAGTGCATTCTTTGTGTTCTGTTTTTAATAAATTTGCAAAAATCTCAGAAAATATTTTATCACATTTTCATAATGAGGTATTGTGTGTAGAACTTTGAGGAAAGAGATTAATTTAATACAATTTGGAATAAGGCTGTAACATAACAAAATGAAAAGTGAAGCGCCGTGAAGCCTTTCTGAATTCACTGTACATTATAAAAAAACACTTAAGTTCCCTATTTAAGAAAGCCATGCGTATCTATCTATCTATCTATCTATCTATCTATCTATCTATCTATCTATCTAT